ATAGATCAAAATATCTTAGAAATTTTGTATTATGATAGATTTTTAAATGCTGTTTTAATAAATGTATTTAACTCAAGTAATTAATTTTAGAAATGTTTTCAAAAATCACTAGAAGAAAACAAAACAGATTATGATAGGAAAATATGAATTTTATTAATTATTGCAGATATTTTTGAATATATAAAACTTCAAAAAATCTTAGGATATAGTATTATTACTTATATTAATACTTATTACTATATATTTATAACTATTGTTTATATTATAAACAGATTTTGTCTAAAACAGTAGCAAAAGCTAAATATTACTATAAGTTTAATAGTCTAAGATGTGTAATAATAGATAATCCTATTATTATACGAGTATGAACTATTGAAAAAATTAGAAAAACAATTTCAAAATTTTTTGCTGATAAAAATATTGTAAATTTGAGTTTTTATAAAGTGTATATGAAAACTAATAAATCACTCAAATATCTAAAAGATCAAAAAAAACAAAAATTCTTTGAGTTATATCTCATCAGCATAAAATAAATAATATTTTTAGTAGATAGACCTTATATATATAGAGAAGACCTAGAAGGTTTGTGTGGTATTTGTTCTGAATATGAATATAATGTATTTGATGATTTAAGATCTTTAATAATGGAAAGAATAATTGAAAAAAATCAATAGGTTAATATAATTTTTTTATAATATTTTAACAGATTTAAGTAATATTAAGAAATGTTAAGAAAAAATTATATATGTTTTTATATTACAAAATAAAGTTTTTAATAAATAAAAACAAATATTCAATAATAATAAATATTCAAAAATACATTATTAGAACCAATTAATTATAGAATTTGAATTTATTTATCAGTATTTAAACGTAAATATAAAAAGAAACTTTAAATAAATTACCTAAGATGATCTATCATATTAAATATCTTAAACATTATCTTCCATATGCTTTTAGAGAATGTGATAAATTCTATCTTTCTAATTGCAATTAATGTAACAAAATATTTGAATTTTTCATCAATTAGCTAATATAATAACAAATGATTTTAAGCGAATCATATAAAATAGAAAAAACTTTAATATTACTAGTCTCATCAAGTATATAAGATATACCTTAATACTCAATATAATGCAAATTTGCTTATTCTTGATGAAGAAGATGCTATTATTATAGTAGATTACAAAATGAAGATTTTACCAAAATTGGTATAAGAAGTAAAATCAGATTTCTATGAAAAGTCAGAATAAATATTACATACAATATTAGTCTATATAAAAGCCAATAATCATGAATTAGAAATAAAAGCTTTTAATCATTAGTCTTTAGATACAATTCAAGATGTATTATTTATAGCTTCATATTTTAAAGTTGTATTTAATTCATTTATAAAAAACCTAAATGGATAAAAATTCTATCTAATAATAGCATTCACTATCATTGTGTTGAATTAATGACTATGATTATAAACTGGAAATTCTAGTATAATGTGAAAATTCAAAGTTAGATTTTTTTAGAGACAGAAAAAGTCAAAAAGCAATCAATTTATATTATGCTCAGGTCATTAATACTAGTTATGTTAATAAATTATAATTATTGCTTATAAATCTTTATTGTGATTATTTTTAGATTTCTCATGCAATTAAATGGTATGTTAAACTAGTATATAATATATCTGAAAGTCAAAATATAAAAAAAGCAATCAAAAGTATTAGAGGAGCAACAATTATAAATATTAAAAAAAAACCTATAATAGCTAGTATTTTTAATTAGTTTAAATTTAAAAAGTCTATTAAGGGAGAATTCAGTGGATTTGTATATGTTCAAACACTTTCCAACTTTGAAAAATGAAATGATTTTTCTTCTTCAAATATTTGTAAATTAATGAAGAATAATGAATAATTTTGACTAAATCCCTTAATTTCTACACTTACAAATATAAATTCTAAATGAATAATTTTGATACTATCAACAAATTAGAACAATAACTCCTAAAATAAAATAGCTAAACTAAATAGGTTGATAAAGGATAATATTAGAGAATAATTAAAAGAAGATCCCTATTTTATAATGAAAAAGAAAATCAACAAGAGTTAATTATAATATTAAAAGAAAATATTATATATAAAATAATAAATAAAATAGTAGTAATAAATTTTTTATTATTTTTTTTTTTACAAATTTACAATAAAATTTAACTAATTATTTTTCTATTATATAGAAGTAAAAAAGGCAATTGGTATATTAAAAAATAATAATATAACAGAAATAAGAACAAAAAATAAAAAAAGAGAAAGGAAAGCAAGTAAGTATAACTGCTAAAAAAAAAATAGAAAATATCATAATATTTTATAATAATAATATCAGATATTATTATATTGTTATATTACTACTCTAGAAACAACTATTTTCAAGTTGATTAAGCTTTAAAGAAAATCAAAAATATGAAAAAAAGGTGACAGAAAATATATATCCAAAGAAATAATAGAATTATTAAAAGGTTTTTTTCATGCTAATAACGTCTATAAAAGTAAGCAATATTTTGCTTAAAGGATTATAAAAAAGGTAGAAACAGGTGAGTTATAAGAGTGTGATATACCAAAGTTAAAAATAATTAAAAATTGGATTAGCTAATATTTTCACTAATACAAATAAGCAATAGCTAAAATATTAATAAAAACTGCATAAAATACTTTTATTTAATGTTTAAATGAGTTTAACTAACTTTTTTTTGCTTTTTCTTTTACTTTTAAAATTTTGTAATTTTAAAATTGAAACTTATAATCCTAAGTCAAAAAGGTATTTATGCGAAATCTGTCAAATAAAACGTATATTTTTTAAATGTAATAAAAGTATAAATTTTAAGTGACATTTAATTATGCATATTTGAAACATTTTATTATTAAATCATAAGTTAGTATTATATGACATTTTCCTAATTGCAGTTTTTTTATAATTAATTATGTAAAATTGCCTGATTGATATTATGCATATTTTTTCTATTTTTAGCGAATTATGAATTAAAAATTTATACTATCATTTAACAAATTAAAGTCAAAAAAATTTATATATAAAATAATTCTTTTATAACAAATTGTTCGATAATGAATTTTTTTGATATAAATTTTATAGTTCTTTATACTTAGTTTTTTAATAAAATTAATAATAAATAAATATTCGCATTATGTATTATATCTTGTGATTTATATTTTTTTTACATATTTTATTTTTTAAATTTTTTTTCTTGCATAATGCTAAAAGTAAACTCAAAGAAACAATTTAATAAACCTACTAATAAATAAGATAAACCTTTAAAAAAAAACAAAAATCTCTTATAGTTGCATACAAAAAACAAAAAAAGAACTTTGTTTAAAAAAAATATCACCATCTTTTTTAAAACAAGAAGACATGACTAATGAATATAATATTAATAAAAGCATAGTAAGTAATATTTTAAAGGAGAAAAACTATTAATTTCTGTAAATACTAATTCATATTAAGTCAATTTGAAATGTGATAAAAAACTTCATTTCTTCTTGTCAAAAATGTATTAGCAATTTGGATAGATAACCCTTATTATTATTAATAATATTTTTTTAACTAAAGCCTTAAGTTTTGCTTTTTCATTAAAAGAAAATAAATTTAAAAAGTTTAGTAATTAGGTAAATAACTTTAAAAAATGATATAATCTTAAATAGTATCATATACACAGAAAAGCTGCAAATACATTGCTTAAAGATTTTAAAATAATAAAAGAAAATCTCTAGCAAATATTAAAAGATTATAGTTCTAAAAATATATTAAATTGTAATAAAATATGATTATTTTAGAAGATGAAATATGTCATATGATATTCTATCAGAAATAAAATAATTAAAAGATTGTGTAATAATCCTACTCATATATAATACAATGATAAATGAAAAGCTAATGCCTTTATTTATACATAAGTATGAAAATCCTAGAGTTATTAAGAATATTAATAATAGAATACTTTAGTTAAATACTATTAGAACTAAAAAATTAAATACAGGTTTGAATCTGAAATGAATATATAAAAAAACTTGATACAAAAATGAGAAGATAAAACTAAAACATTCTCCTTCTTATAAAGAATGCTTTGATATATGCTCTTTATGAAATTATCTAACTAACTAATATTACTATTTAATACCTTCTTCTAAATATTAACTGCATACTTTCAACCTTGTAATCAAGATATCATAAATAGTTTTAAAATGAGAAATGTAATTGATTTAATAATTCTTTAATTAAACTAATAAACTAAAATAATATTAAATTTAATAAAATATAATTAACATTATTATATTTTATACTTTACACAAGTCAAATGATGAAGAATTAAAATGGTATCAGCCAGTTAAGAATCAGAATCAAATCAGTTTTAATTTTTAACTGGCTGGTATTTTTTTATTAATAATCAGAATCCTGATAAACCCATGACTTTTACCTTATAAAAGACTGACTATTCTAAAGACATATCGGAAAATATTATACAATAAATTATATACCTTCCAATATTCTGATAGTTATACAATATATTAACAATTTTGCAATTATCTATTAAGAGGTATAGGCAAAATATTAGTATTTTATTTAAATAACTACTGAAGTTTTAATTTTGAAGAAAAATTCATATGAATTTTTCTTTATTAAAAGCAGAAAAAATAAACATATCAGTTTAACTAAATGTTATAATTTAATTATTTATTTATTGTAAATATTGCATAGCGTAGTATGATATATTAAATATAAATCTTTCTATTAATCGATATTACTGTCATGTATTTTCAAGGATCTCTTTTGCCTACTGAAAAAGTATCTTTGACAAATCAACCCAATATGCTATATACAGGAATAATACAATCTCTACTAATGTTATAAAACTCTTTCTTTCATAATTTAATATTGCAAGAACTAATATCATTATTAATTTGATAATAGAATCTAGTTTTATGATCTTCTGCCAGAAAATACTATCTCACAAATGCCAATGAATGTTTTTTAGATTCACTTAAGTTCAGAAAATACACAGTATATTCAAAATAATATTGAACAATACCAGGATAAGTATCTTTAGAATTGCCATCGATAAATTGTGATAATATCTTAGCCAAATTGATATGCCTTTTCAAATATATTGATCTAAAAACTTCAGCATCAAGTTGTAACTTCCCATAAATATTCACTTTTAGAAATATTAGGATAGCATTAGATTGCACAATATGAATATCAGACAAAGTCACAAAATCTTCATTATAAGTATTGCGATAATATTCAACTAATAAATCTAATATTTCCTTCGTAAGGTTTGTGTCTATATTTTTTGGATTAAGAAAATTGCCCAGAAAGGGCTCTGAATCTGTTCCTGCTCTTTCTTTCACATTTTTAGATATTGATAAGAATTCTAGGTAGTCCATTCCATTAAATTCATCTTGAACTGCAAGACTACTAGTAG